CCACCCATACAAGCCCAAAAATTATGTTTTATGTCCGTGTTCTGCAGAACTTCAGTTTCTTTCTTTCTTTTTTGTTTGTTTGTTTGGTTTGTTTTTTTAAAAGTAGTTTTAGCAACTGGAATTCAGTGCGTTCAGTTCAAAATGATTTACCTCAAACCGGAAAATTAGAATAAAAAGAAAATAGCACAACGCTTGCGTTTTGCTGGGTCTTGCTCTTGTCCGTAGTGTATTGGTTAGGCTCGTCGGCTTGCAGGCGCAGAGCGTGTGATGGATTCCCACATGGGGGACCTTAAGATCCACAATGTATTTTTTGAAAAAGTGTCTCCGACTTCCTGCCGAGATGTGTCCCCCATAGCCTTGGTTGGGCCCCGACAGGATGTGTCGAAGCAGTCGTCGCATCTTAAAATTAAGTATTTAAACTTGTCGGTGGGGTAGGGTGGGAGGGGGAGGGGGATGACTTTGGATAAGAGTTTGAGTTAAGAGAAGCACATCGACACGATGACGGTCATTAGTTTAGTAAGCGTTTTACGGCACTTGCAACACAATAATGTCATTTAAGTGCCGAAGATTAGAGGTGTTACAAGAGAGTAATAAACACGAACAGGAAGGAGGGGAGATAAGGACGATAGATGTTTAATAGGAAAGAAGAAGCAAACCTCACTAGAACACCCGCCAACAACCCACTGACGATCATAAAGCGCAGGAACAAAGTGAAGACAGACAGACACAACATGGGGAAAGACAAGAAAGTATGATATATCAGTGGTGTCCTCTAACCACCCGTGTAGGACATTGGGAACAATTTCCACTGCACTCTCCTGTGTAAAAAAAAATGTGTGCTCAGTCCTGATCTCAATCGAAAATCCAACTTTTGGCTGTGTCGTGTGTTGCAAGGCCTATCGCAGCACACGATCGCGTGCTATATATATAATAATATCATGTGTCGAGTGTCGTGTTTCACAACCGCTTGACAGATTTCTTGTTATAGTAGGGATGAATCTCACCTGCTGCGTAATGGTCCCGCAACGGATTACGCGTGCCGTATCAACTGTTAAACTTTACGGAAGTCGTAAAGGAAAATATAACCGTTTTATGTTGTTGTGCGGATATTGAGAGAAGGAGCACGTTTGGAAGGGGACGGAGGGAGTGGGGGGGGGGGGGGGGGGGGTTTTAAATCAGCACAGTGCGCTTGGCGACCCGTGGACACGGCGGTGCCATTCGGGGATAAACTGCAACATAGTAGGCGTTGCCTTCCGTTTTTTTTTTTTTTTAAAAATATATATATATATAATGGCCCTTTCCCCCCCCCTCCCCCAACCTATCATCAGCCCCCCCCCCCCCCCATTTCCTCTTGTGGATGTTTAGATCTTCTGTCTCTTGTGGGTGTTTAGATCTTCTGTCTCTTGTGGGTGTTTGAAGAATGTTAGTGGTCAGCATTGTATGATCGTTGTCGTTTGGATGTGATTCTCTCACCCGCTCCACACTCTCTTTCTGCCTGCCTGTCTGTCGCTCTTCATAACCTCCTTTCACCCACTCCTCGTCCTACTCATCACACTTTCCCACACAACGATCAAAGAAACACCCTCTCTTGATTTATTGATGAAAAAAACCCAACCCTACCCACCAACAACAAAACACGCAACGCAAAAACAACACCGGACTCCCCACAAATACAGCCAAGGGCAGAAAATTGAAGCAAAGCGAAAACATGTTCCTTACATGAAAGGGAAACAGATGAACGGGTCACTGAGCTACCAATGAGGGGAAAAAAAGAAGTCGCATAGTGCAGAATTTGTGGAGTTTGTGAAATATTTCAGTTGGCCCGTGCTGGCGGCTGATGCTTCCCGAGCATTTTGAAAGAAAATCTCTCTGTAAACATGACTTGGTTACCGACAGTACTTGGCCCATTGCACACGCCCTCCCCCCTCTCTCCTTTCCCCGAGGGTTGACGTCTTCGATCTCTCACCCCCGCATACCTTTCAGCCGTGCTCTCAGGCCCTTTGCCCGAGGCCTGGACAATGTTGCAGAGATGCTCTGAGGCGCGGCTAACAGTACAAAAGGGAAGATAACCAGGAGTATTGCTGTCCCGGGTCTTCCTTGGCAAAATCAAATTGCAGGGTCTTGGCTGTCTTTTAGAATTAATGGAAGAGGGGGGGGGGGAGGGGTGAGAACGCGTTTCTACGGGGTGTGAACTGTTTAGGATTATTTTGGTAGCCAATTGGCACCTCCAATACCTGTATATTATATACAGATATTATACACTGTGCACATGTATACTATATATACATGTGTACTATGTTGGAAATAAAGGTACACGGTCATGAGGATAAATACAATGCATGAGTAATATACTTCTTTCTCTCTTTTCTTTTCACTCAATCATGTGAGCAGAAATGTTGACATTGGCACAATACTCATTAACACGTTTTACTATTCTATTCTTTCAGCTGGATTGAAGCCTGCATCAATGAAGAGTTGCCCACATCTACAGAGCTCGAGGAAGGCCTGCGCAATGGCGTGTACCTGGCCAAACTGGGACACTTCTTTGCACCCTCCGTGGCTCCGCTTAAAAAGATCTACGATAAAGAGCAAACCAGATATAACGTGAGAAACCCATGTATTGTGTTGAGGTTAAGTAGGAAAGGTGGATTTTAATGAAGTAAATTAAAAAATATGAGAGATTGACAACTTTTCCATTTTTTTATAATGTACTTTTTCTTATGTACTACTGAAGTTTTATCTGGGATTTAAAATCTATATTAGGATGTTGATATCATGTAATAGGAATATTTTGTTAAATGGGGAGCCAGAAATATTTTACTTGAAAGTTATGTCATCAAATATTCTATTCAATGGTAGATCAAGGGGTGTTTTTTTCTTTACAATTAACGAAGTGGCGATGTATTCAAAACAATGTTCTGTTGTGAGTTAGCAAAACGTTTTTCCCCCACAGAGCCGAGGCCTGCACTTCCGTCACACAGATAACATCAACCACTGGCTGAGAGCCATGGACGAGATTGGCTTACCATCTGTAAGAGTCCTTTTTGTTTTGTCAGAGAAGGGATATGTTGGCTGTTGGGTGTGGATGGTTGTAATTACACACTTTCCCTACACATTCGATGCCAGTTATCAGGAGATTTGGGGAGGAGGAGGGGGGGGGGGGTTGTTTCATTTGTAGAGTTGTTTGTTTTGCCTGTGTTTCCAAAATGCGAACTAAAAGGTGTATAAAGAGCATATTTATAATCATGTATCCAACAGACTGCTCATAAGACTTTACAACACTCTCATCCCAACCACATGCGACTATATTGCGTTGCATCTGTTTTTATAGTCTTTTTACCCTGGAGACAGGGCAGCTTGTTGTAAGTTGCGGCAGCTGTCTTTCTTTTGTTATGCAGATGAGGAGCATTCTGATAATATTGATCTGTTAGGGATATATGTTGTTACGCTAATATTGATTTATTTTTGACCAAATCTTTGTCTGAAGGACAAATAGCTTCTAAGTGATGAAGTATGGTCTGTTAAGGATTTTGACCACTTAATTCTTTCAATTTGTTTTGAATAACATGTTCGAAGAATTTTTTTTTGAGTGTCTCAGGCTTTCTGCTGGGATGTTTTATCCCAATGAGCACAGGTTGGCTGCCTCTTTAATGATCTACATTGTGGGGATCCGGGCGTAAAACTGCTACAGTTACAATTTTTTGTTTGTTTTTATAATGATGAAAATTGGACATTCAAAGAGAAAATTAGATCTGCTGTTGAAATGGGATGTATCGTGGGCTTATGTCGATGCTGGACTATGAGTGCTCTGAAGTATAATATAACCTCAGGTTCAGACTCAGTACTTAAGCATGTTCTTGTATTCCTCTTTTTCTTTTCAAAAATCTTTTACACTAACATTGCTTCTCCTTACAAGACAAGTCACAGTGACATGGAGTCGACATCAGAAGACAAGTACACTTTTAAAGTTTTTCAAAATATGCATAGGCTGAGATATTTTTTGCCGACAACACCACCACTACCTCTCCATAAAAAACGAACCATCATTAAAGGTAGTCTGCATCACCATACGTAATTAAATGCCTGCAGCATTGTGTAATCAATGTCATGTAGATTTTTTAAACTCTATATAATGTAATACCTCACCCTCTCCTGTAACAAAGTTTTTATTGATTGTAAATTGTAAATGTAAATTTGAGCTCTGGAAAGGATGCTGGTTCTAATTTTCATGTATTGGTGTGTCACCTGTTGGAAAACAAACTAGGTAGTAGATGGAGTGGGTGGTTGGCAGGTGCGCTGGTGTGGTTTGTTCCATCTTTACTATCAAACATCATTCGTCCTTATCTGTCTTTCAACTTTTCTTTGTGTGTATCTCTCTCGTAACACCTCTATCTCCGGCCCTTTTGTGATCTATTTTTGTTGCAAGTGCCGTAAAACTCTTACTAAAACTAGAATTAAATTAGTAGATAGAGAGCTTGTTAAAACAGAAAAAAAATTTAATGAAGAAAGAAAAGATCCAAAATTTTATTGTTTCATTTGTGGTGTTTGGTTTTCCTATGATGTGCATTGCACTCAAAGCAATAAACAGGTGGAAGTTGTGGGGAAGGGG